TTATAGTAAAGGAAGAAAACTCAAGTAGAAATCAAAAGTTAATTTCCAGAGCCAGACCTACAACAGTATAGCATGATACAAGGATTTCCTCTTTGACTTGAATTTTTCAAGGCATGCTTCTGAAGGGGAAGGGAGAAGCAAAAGGAGTGAGAGTTACCAACCTTTTAAGCCCATATTCAGAAGTAGATGCCATCGCTTCCCAGCAAACCAACCAATTGCATCCTTCTGGATCTTGTTAGTAGCCTTGCTCTTTCTTCTTTCTCAGCAGCAAGAAGTTTGGAATAAACATTTCTCATCCTGAAAGTCCTTTTACACAGAAGATGTTTTATCCATCTCTTATCAGAGACTTATATCCTTTCTTGTACATTTAAACACCCACTTTCAACACCCCAAACTGCAACACCTTTAAAGTACAATCCTTATGTAGCTCCCCTCTGTAGCTCAAAGAAATAACAAGACGCACCTTCCTCATGCTTTCCAGTGTTGCTTCTCCACTGGGCTGTAAAATGTGACACCTTTTGGACCAGGAGATACATAAGTAGGGGAAAAGAAGGAATCTCTGGTCACAGGAAAGAGCCATGTAGGACACAAGTAGGACAATAATACAGTACCTTTTTTAAACAAAACAGATTAACTTATCTTCACCATGACCTCCTAGGGTGGGCAGCATGGTAGGAGACACTTCTTCCCCCTGCTCCCAGGAAAAACAAGCAAGTGACTGTAGAGAAAAACCCTCTTCTCCCTGGGTCAGCTGCTGACCTATGAGTGTATGTGGTTCCTCATTCAGGTGACTCACATCACCTCATCAAACCTACAGCTGCTGGGCCCAGAGCTCAGAACTTTCTTTTCCAGGCATGCAGAGGTGAAAAGCATTTTATGCTGATGCTCCAGCTTCCAAGAACTGAAGCAAAAACCTTTTTGACACTTTTTTAATGCAACCTTTTCAACACCTTTCTAACACCTGTGGACTAAGGCTTTCTCCATAGACTAAGTCTTCTCTATGTTTAAAGCACGTTATGGATCTCTCCAAAGGAAAAGGTCATATGCAAGAGATAATAGCCCATCCCCAAATGACCACCACTAGTAAAGATGTGTGTCCTAATTCAGCTGTTTGGTGGTTTGTCACCAGCAAAATCTTCTCTCTCCTCCCTATTTAATACACATCTGTCTCCTATCCTCAGCCTCACACCACAAAGAACTAGAGCTGAAATTCACTGCTGGGAATAGACAAGGGGATATCTCTGCCCATGTCAGTCCCCCCTTTCTTAATTATGATCTTCTTTAATCACCTTGGAAGAATTGACAGCTGCTGGCCTTTATCTTACATACCCCAAAATCCTGAGGCCTCCCTCCTCTTTCTCACCTCATTTTCCCTCTACTGATTCTCTGCAAAGCCCAATTTCAGGAAATCCGTGATTCTTTCAGCACTCAGGCTGATTTTAAGGCATAATTATATTTCTTATTATATTGCCTGACTCAGTCATCTTGCTTGGACACAATAATGTGTGCAATCCAGGAGAAAGTACAGACTTTCTTGTCCCATGTCTGCAAGCTGAGATATGAAGTCTGCTCCTGGCCACTAGCCTAGTTTTGTTAGTCCTATCTGGGTTTTCTCTTTTGGCTATTATTCTTTTTCTTTAGCTTGCCTGTGAAATTACAATGTATTTATCTGCCTTGTTAAGGTATTTGAGTGTTCCACCTATCAATCTGTCCACAAAACCTTGTTAAAGTCAAGAGACTTTAACTTCTGAAGTGTTAGTTAACAGCATTAGCTCCAGGACATTATTCTCATGAAGAAAAACCCTGGCTGGGAAATAAATTTTGTACAGGTCCTGTTAAGCCTCAGTTCAGTCCCATTTACTCTAGACTGATCTATCATGACCACATTATGGGAACAATGGTGCTGCAGCAGCACTAGCCTGTTCTTTTGATGAGTCATATCTACATGTGTCAAAAGCCTGAATGCTGCTTGTAAGCATCACTCAGTAACAGAGGTGACAACATCTTGTGGTTATAAACAGGCACCAAAATTAGTGAGACAAAGAGAGCAGGTACTGAACGACTCCATGAGGAAACAGTGCCTCCATCAGTGCTAAGTATCAGAGAGAGCAGTAATTAGTATGCTAGCTTCATCAGAGATGTACAACGATTTATATAAACAGGAAGACTAGAATGTAAAGTGAGAACTTAAATCAATATGGTTACATTGATAGGAGCCTTTGCATGAACATTTTCACTTTGGCACAAGCAAGTTTAAGAAACTCTAGCTCATGATGTTTTGGAGAGTGTCCAACCTAAATTTAAAAAGCTGTGTTAAGTCTGATCTAAGCACCCCCAAGAGGAAAGCTATCAGCACAGCTATGTTAGGTTATCTGTATGGATATGATTGTACAGGCAAATGTTCTCCTGAAGAATACTGTACAGCTCTTGGCATAGACATGCTGCTTTGATAAATGTACAGGTCACACAATCTGCATTTGAAAGGGAAAGGTTGTACTCAGTGCTTGCTCTGGGAAGATGGATGCTTTGTTGCACAAATTCCTTTTCATCGCTGTCAGTTACATAGATCATTTTGTTGCCCAGTTTGTTCCATGGTGAGAATCAAGTCAGGGACTACTTGCAACAGCTCAGCCCATACAAGTCCATGGGGCCCAGCAGCCTGCATCCAACATGCTGAGAGAGCTGGCTGATGTCCTTGCAAGGTCACCTTCTATTATCTTTGAAATGCCACAGAGACGAAGGCACCCTGATAACCGGAGGGAAAAAAAAAAAGTCACATAGTTCCAGAAAAAGCCGAAAGAACAGCCAGAAGGCCACTGAGCCTATTTCATACATTTAAGTGAAATTCCCGATATTTCAGCTTGCACCCATTGCCTTTTGTCCTTTCACTGGGTAGTACTATAGGAAGAGTCTGGCTCTGTCTTCTTTACCACCCTTGTCAGGTGTTTATACACCTTGACAAGATCCAGCCCACATCCCTGAGCCTTTTCTTCTCCAGCCTAAAAAATCACAGCTCCCAGCCTCTCCCCATTATTTCAGTCTTCAATACCATTACCATCTCCATGGCCTCTTGCTGGATAGACTTCAGTATTTCCATATCTCTCTCATACTGGGGAGCTCAGCACTGGACACAGCATTCACATGTTTCAGTGACGCAGAGCAGAAGGGAAGGATCACCTCTCTCCACCTGCTGGCAACACTCTTCCTAATGCAGCCCAGGAAGCTTTTAGTTTTCGAGGCCACAAGGGTGCACTGATGGCTCATGATCAACTTGGTGTCCTCCAGGACCCCCAAGGCCTTTTCTGGCAAGGCACTTTCCAGCCAGTTTGCCTGGTGCCCGGGGTTATTTTTCCCTCCAGGTGCAAGACTCCGTATTTCCCTTTGCTGAACTCCATGCAGTTCCTGTCAGCCCATTTCTGCAGTCTGTCAAAGTCCTTCTGAATGGCAGCACAGCCCTTTGGTATATAGAGAACTTCTACTACCTCCTGCAGTCCTGCCGATTGCGCACTCTGCACCATGACCCAGGTCATTAATGAAGGTTGCAAGTGCAACAGTGCAAGATCCAATATTGATAGGGTACACCAGAAGCAACTGGCCTTCAGCTAGGCTTCATGCCACTGATCACAACCCTTTGAACACAGCAGTTCATCCAGTTCTCAATGCACCTGCACACCATAAGCAACTGGCCTTCAGCTAGGCTTCATGCCACTGATCACAACCCTTTGAACACAGCAGTTCATCCAGTTCTCAATGCACCTGCACACCATCTACTCACATGGTCTGTAACTCCTCAGTTTGGGGGATGCTATGAGGGACGTTATGTGGGACATTTAAAGCCTTGCTTAAGTCAAGAGAAACAACATCCACTGCTCTCCCCTCAAACACTGAGCCAGTCATCTAATTGTAGAAGGCTATCATGCATGCTTTACCCTGCATAAATCTATTCTGGCTACTCCTCATCATTTTCCTGTTCACCCTTGGAAATGGTTTCCAGAACTATTTGCTCCATCACCTTCCCAGAGACCAAGGTGAGGCCAACTGTCTTTTAGCTCTCCCTCTTCTTCTTGTCCTTTGCAGATAGGAAGGACATTTGCTTTCTTCCACCCCTCAGGAATCCTGTCCATTACTATAACCTTTAAGACAATTGAGAACAACTTCATAGTAACATCAACCAGCTCCTTCACCAGCCATGAATGTGTCCCATAGATCTGGGTATGTCCCATCTCTAAGCATTTAACTTAATCTTTCTTAACTAAGGGTTGATAGTCCTTGCTCTAGCCTTTCCCACTGGCCTCCTGGGCCTGCAGTTCCAAAGGCTGGTCTTACCAGTAGAAACCCAGGCAAACAAGACTGAGTACCTCAGCCTTCTCCCTGTCCCTTTGCCATGAGAACTCCTGCCCCGTTTAGAAGCAGGCCCGCATTTTCTCTGATCATCTTTTCGCAGCTGATATGCCCGAGGATTGCCTGTTGTCCTCCACACCCCCTGCCAGGTTCAGCTACAGACAGCTTGGAATTGGCTTCCCTAAATACATCCCTGAACATTTGCATAGGATGCTTATGTTCCCCACAGGTTACTAGTCCCTACGTCCACCTCTTGAACATTAATGTTTTGTGGTGGTGCACAGCTGGAGGATGATAGACAATGAGTATGAGTTGAAACAAGAGAAGTTCAGTCTAGATAAGCAAAAACCTTCCCCTTAGCCCTTGCACACTTGAAGTGGCAATGTGTTTTTATCTGGTCACCTGCAGCACTTCTGCATGTGGATCAGAAAACACAGCAGCTGGCGGAAGTGTGGAACACTACTTAAACATCATCACTTGATCAGCAATGCACAGTGATTCTCTGAACTTCTGTGCTAGAGGCAAACATTCTCTAGCTTGTACCTGTATAGTCAGTACTTGTATACTCAGTATAGTCAGTACTTGCACCTGCCACACCTGAACAAGGTGCTCAGGCATTTGGGTTAACTGATGTGCAATATAAAAGAACAGACTGACAATTTTTAATAGGCCATTTTTTATTGAGAGTTAAGATCATGTTTCCCACAATGTGCAGAATGCACTATGAAAACAAAATACAGAAGATCACTTTAGTAAATACACACTGGTTAAGCAATGCTACTTTTTGGCAAAGTGCTGTATCTTGTTGTTTTTCAGCTTGTGTTATAACTATTAAAAATAAGAGCCAGACATTCTTCCATATCAAAAGGACTGCTACAAATAGAGAAGTGGCTCTGGAGAGAAGCTGCCATATGTGCATAGACTGATGTACAGTATTAATCCTAACTGAAATGTCCCTTTTGAATCTTCAAGTTTGCTGTGTAGAAGGCACAGTTTAAAATGCAAATCTGTCTATTGACCAATACATACGAAAATACAGTTTCAGCAAGATTCATGAATATCAATCAATATAAGACAGTGCAAGGCCTCTGCTTTTTACAAGAACACACACTTTAATACAAGTCAAAAAACCATAAGAAGCCACACAGCTTGCTATTAAAACAGAAAAACAAATCTATTTGCCCAATAGCTCCAGGCACAAAATGGGGCTAGACCAACATAAATACGTAAACCACATTAACAAAAAGCCATTGATGCAGTACTATCTCACACAATAATATGGTGTCTAATATTACAAATTGAGAAGCACAGCTTTGTGCAACAAAATAGTTTATATCCTGAAAGATATAGGTTTTCATCACCAGAAAGTCATCTAGTAATGTAGTATAAAAAGATCAGTATCTCCCAATTCTAGGAGCAGTCTAAAGTTGCATTTACTTGCCTACTGAGAAGAACAGTCCAAGGCTCTCACTGTAATGCCTGGGAGCCTTATACTCTCAACTCCCATCTCCCTGTCAAGAGTTAAAAGATGACTTAACTCCTTCTAACACAGGGAGGTGGACACTCCATCTTCCTTCATTTCACTTTAAGAAAATTAAAGCTGAAGGAAAGTAGTTACTTTTATACAAAGAAAAAAAAAATACAGGAAAGAGAGGAATTTTCCTGAGCTAGGAAGTTGGCAGTGAGAAGGAAGTTTAAATTGGGCAAAAAGCTGGAGTGATAAAAGCAGACAATCTGAGGCAAGTAAGAGTATTCATGAACAGATGAGAGACTGGTGAAACCACAGCTATTTGCAAACCAGAATGTTTGGACCACAAAAGAATTGCTGTATGGACACAGACACATACTGCTGAAAACACTAACAAAAAATCCCTATTTTTGAAACTTACAATGTGACCAATCCTGTTTTCTTTCACTGTGTGTGTGAATTTAATGTACTTCAGGAAAAAAATAAAATAAAGGAGACTAGTGTAGCCAGGAAAGCACCTATTGCTTTCACACACTTAACTATCTGTGAGCATCCCCTTGCAACAATCTTAACTAACCCCAGTGAAGCAGCACATCTGCAGTGAAACAAAGGTTATAAGTGCTATTTCCTGTATACTAAGCATGTTCCACAACAATTCCAGCTGCAGAATGTGCAACAGTACCATTACATCAAGGTCAATCCAAGTTGTTAGGGTTTGGCTTCAATGAATTTGAAGCATTTGGCTGAATTTAAAATACTTCATAGGTCTAGAAAAATTCACATTACTGATCTAATTTTAAGGACTCCTCACATGACTCCTTATACTAGCTTCTGTATAAGGACTACTGGAAGACATTGTTGAATGTAATGTTAACACTTAAATGCCCTAGGCACTAAACACAAGTTAAAACCAGTAAGTCACATTAAGTACTGACAGAAAGGGGGATAAACCTACTGGTATTTCCCCTCTTTCTTCAGTGTAGATTTCTGCTTCCTCACCTCCATAAGCAGTTAGTCTACTTCCCAGATTGATCTATCAGGGCTCAGCATGCCACATGGCTGCGGTTAAGAAACAGGGTGTACTGAACAGGTGAACTTTGTGTTCTGGGTTTTTCAAGTGCCTGCCAACTTCCAAAACATTGTACAGCGTTCTTAAGAAAATTACTTGTTAGTTTTGAATGGCTTTTCTTTCCTGCTGCCCATGGAATTGCTATCCAGTTCTTCTGCCCCCAATGGGTTAAGGGAATAACACTGCCAATCTATCTCCATTTTTATACACCCTGTCATCTCTGTGTTTAGTTCTGCAAGACTGTTTTTCAGCATCCTCTCATCCCTGCCACACACTGCCCTTCATTTCCAGTCACAATTAACTTGGACTTAATTTCTAGAGAGAGAGAGAGAGAAGGGAGAAAATTTGAATAAGACCTTCCTTCTAGCTGCTTTTGAGCTACTCTAAGTATGAGACAATTTAACAGCAATTAGCAGCTCAGAAATAGCTATCCATCAGCCCGACTTCTTTAAAGAGCAGTCAGCTACTGATGGGATTAAAAGAAGTCAGTACACCATCCTTTTCCTCTAAGTAGACTAGAGAGTAAATGAAATGGGATAGGGTAAATACATCTTTTAAAGACAGAAAGAATAAAAGAAAGGGAATAAGAACCCAAACTGCACCAAGTAAAACCCAGTTCAGCTCTGTGTTGTGCATCTGCACTTAACCCATAGGCCCACTTTTCCTTCCACTCCACTGTGAGGTACTACATCTGTAACACCAGTGCCATAGCCTACTGCAACAATATTAGGGGGGGGACATTTAACCCTTTCTGATACCCATATCAAGTACCCAATACACCTACACAGACTCCACTAACACAAGTAGGTACTAGGCGATTTACATTAGACGTCCTTCTTGTAACAGTTCAGCATAGCTACCCACTGGCAGCTATAGTATGCCTTTGTTAGAAAGTAATCATATATGCTGAATATAGACAGATATACAAGCTGTCAAGTTCTGGTCATTAAAGAATACACCTAACCTCAAATTTTCTAACTCCACTTTGATTAACGTAAAATGTAACTGATTTCCATCTCAGTTAAGTGTCTTTAAAAGATCAACTAAGAACCCATCTATACATCATAGTTTATAAAACAGCACACAAACTACCTTAGTGATAGGCTTCCAAGACATTGATATTTAACATCAATGTTCAGGACTTACTGCAAGATGTTTGGAAATTTAGGTATCATTTTAAAAGAATGCAACTCTAGTTACAATTGTGTTGGAGGGATTGACAATCAGCTTCAGACTGACCACACTTACCTATGCATGGAAACAAGAGTAACCTAAAAAACAATTAGACCATAGATTAAAACCACAAGAGCCATCAGTAATTGAACTGACGCTGGCAAGGCTGGTGAACAAAGAGTCCATTGTGCTTGATTTGCCGAGAGTGGCAATCCCTGGTGAGGTTTTGGCGACGGAGACCATTTCTGTTGAGATAATGTCTTTCGTTATGTTCTTTTATCCAGTGGCTAGGACGAAAGCTCTTGTTTTTTTCCAGAAAAGCTGAACGAGTAGCAAGAGCTGTGACGTAGCAGTGAACACGCTGCCCTGTTTCATTTTGGGCTTCCAGTCTAGAAACGTAACAAGCAGGTATCAGCCATTACTGAGGAGCATTGGAAAGACATGCAAACTATACAGGGCAGAACAGGGACATCAACATCCAGCATTTCAAAGGAGCACTCTTATTCTACTGGACAGAGATTTGGGCTGAGGCGAGATCAAGCCAGGAAAGCCACACTGGTAAGCAATGTGTAGTGCTGCTAACTCACTTTTTGTGAGGGCACCACAATAGCCTTTGGACATCTGGTGTCTCATACCACTGAACCCTTCCTTCCCCACCCCACCTCCCTAAGCCCAGAATGCAACACTGATCAGAAATGTAAGGCAATGTGTGTCACACTGCTCCAGCCTTAGAAGACTTAGAGTTGCTCATGACGCAAAGTCTGGTTTAAGAAAAGTCATCTTGAACATAAGTGGTTCAGCCTGAAAACAGAAGCACACCAATAAAAGCATGTTTGGATTGCCAGCCACACAAATAAATCCAAACAATGTTTGTGCAGAGGAATGGGAAAGCTAGATCAGTTGTGACACACACAGGAAATAACTCAGAAAGATGGCTCTTCAACCAGCCCTTCAGATTTCATGAGCAGAAAGTCAGCAGTTTTGGGAAACGCTTTCTCCATCATGCACTAGTGAAAAACAAACCAGCAGCCTATGCAAGCAGGGACTGACATACTGAGAAAGGACTTCCCTACTTGACAGAACAATCACTGGTGTTTCCTGAACTTCCCAAGAAAAGCTAAAGATAGCCTGGCAGTTCTAAAAAGCAAAGCAAATCTGAAGTCTGAGCTCCACGCTGCTGTGAGACCAGCGGCACCAGAGTTGCTTGCCTTCTCTCTCCCCACCCAGGACACAGTCACTAGCTGTCAACTCAGTGGTGCCCAGAAAAGCTGCCTACAAGACCAGGAGCTTGCCAAGGCATGACCAAGAGGCCTCTTGGGAAGTCTGCTCGTCAGCTCTAGCATGACTACTCTAGAGTTTCTTTTGGAAGAGCTTAACTTTCAATTATCATATGATGTCTCTGGTCTGACAGGCCCATGGCAGACACCCTTATAGTCTTGCTCTTGAGGGGCTGCAGGTGCCTGGCAGAGAAGTGAGCTCTTCGGCTTCCCCAGGTCCTACACTGGAGCTAAATACTGTCAGCTCTTCTATGATTCTATGATTTTAAACACCCAAATCCACTTGCTTTTGGCTCCTTGGGTAACTTGACATTAACTGAAGCCTACAGACTCCAGAAGAGCCATGTGTGACATGCTGGTTTTCTCCTGTTCATTCACTGGATATTGTCCTAAACCTAACACTTGTAATATGAAGCAAGAAGTGAGCAAATAACACAGCACAAATCAATTCACAATGCCTTGTAAGTACTTTCTATGCAGATTACACCAGTTTAATTTTGATCAGTGCTGGAAGCGCAACTCCAAGTGAAACCCTTCTGGGGAGAGCTTAAAAAACTATGAAACCACACCAAACTTATTAGGATGGGAAAGATAGACCAGCTGTGACACACAGGAAATCATCCTTTATTTCCTAATCATGCCCTTGCTGCATGTTACTAGCTAGCAAAGAGCACCAACTGCTAATACAAAGTGGTGTTGTTTGTTATGGAAAAACATGACTAACCTGAAGAACACGGGGGAGTTTATACAACACGCTTTTGCTTCAAAAGGAATTTAAAAGGAACAAATAGATTTCCTCCTTTTGTAGAGGAAAAAAATGGTTTAAAATTGCTGGTTGAAGATATTTAAACTTTTTGCCCTCTTATCAAATGCCCTCCCAGCACCAGTTTGCAAAGGAACATTCTTCTACTTATCTTAAAGTGGAACTGGGATAGCAGAAGTGGTCTGAATTAGCTAAAAGGCCACATACTTTTTCAAAACATGGCATTTTGCTATCTTAGTGGTTGCCTTTGGTAGCCTGGCACTAGTGAGCCCTGAGAGAACAGGCCTAATGAGCCTGTTACTGTACTACTCCATCAATACTATCAAAACGTAATTTTAGAGGGGCTGTACCTAAAGCCAGATTGCTGCTACATACGTTCACTGCTGCACACCTGGCATCTCTTTTGCTAGAAAGCACACAGGTCCTGATAGTTGCACTACAGAGCCAGACCTCGCAAGACAAATTAAAGGCTTCAGACCCCATCCCAATTAATATTTAATTACTTTTTTCTGCACTTAGCATTTTGGCTTGTTAAAGCAGATGTAGTTAGGCTTGATCAAGTAACATCATTTGGCACAAAGGTTAGTCCTAAAAACCAGTATTGTTTTGGCAGACAAGGCTCTAGAGGAAGCAGCGTTGCTAGCAGCCTGATCAAACAAAAAGCACTGTCCCAAAACAGTAGTACTTACTGTGCCAGTGTGCCTTAAGCAGCTTTTCTTGGCCCTACAATGTTAAATGGTCAACCATTAAACCACTAGAGACTTCAAAACAGCTTCTGAAACTGCATTAGCAGTGTAATTGATGTCCCCAGTTTCTGTAGCCTACTTCGGCTTTAGACTTAAGTCTCACCCTGGTTCTGCCACCAAAAATAACGCATACAAAAGCCTAGATCCTCTGATGAAGCAACAGCACAGAATTCAGTGTGAAGAAACTTACCACACACCAGTTAAGTTCATCACACCTTTAGCTTCCTGACAAGTTAAAGCAGCATGACTGTACTGTATAATGTAAGAGAGCATTCTTCTCCAAAGGGATTTATACCAGTACCCCCAGTTCAAGTCACTGAGAAGTCAGTACCCAACTTTGTGTGTTACTATTCACTGCAAAACTGTCTTTCACTAGGGTAAGCCTCACAGCCTACAGCGCATTTGCAGATTCCTTCAGACCCTCCTTTTAAAAGCTGCTGTGTACTCCTAACTTCCCCCAGTTTAAGTTAAGCTTGACCCTTGATGCCTAACACCACAAGCTGCCATCACCAAATAACTGTACAAATCCCCATTCTAAGATGAATGGTATCAGTATTATACTTCAATATTATACATCAGCATGTCATCTCAAAGTCCTGTCTCTTTGAAGTACAAACTTTAAATATAGCAAGGAGCTGATCAGAAAAGTCCATGGGCATCTACCTACATCAGCTCTAGCACTACACTCATTTTCTCTTGCAGAAGAAAGCTTAGTATACTACAATTTATTTTTTAATTGTTTCTAAGGGTAACCATCAGATGTGACAAAAAGTCAGTCTTTGTTATTAACCAGGAAATCATAAAACGGCCAATTATTTCCAAATCAATGAACACATGGTCAAGTGTGGAGTCATAAAGTAAAGAAATACTCTATTTGTATATATCTATGTATGCTGTACTTGTATAGCTGCATATACTGGACAACTGAGAGCAGAGAAGCAGTGCATGGCAAACATGCCTCTGCAATAATTCCCCATGGCCAGATTTTTAGGACTCAAATAAGTACAACTTCTTACCTCACTAAAAGTAGAAGTTTGCAGCACACATTTTTACCTCAAGGGGAGCAAATTTTGTGGAGTATTTCAGTTTTCTTTGTTCCACAAGCAGCTTGTGGGAAAACTTAATCCTCTCCTAATCTACCACTAGGTTGAAGAATGAAAAAAAAAAACCAAACCAAACCAAATTCCCCTGTCAGGATAATTAAAGTAAAATTTTCCATCTCAGGAGGGACTGTTATGTAAAGTTCTGAAAAATACACATAGCCAGGAAGAGGGCAAGGTGCTTCCAAATCCATGTGATGAACTTTAACTGCCACCCGTTTTAACAGCACCAAAGTATATCCTGCCAGGGAATAATCAGGCTCCATAAATATTCCTTGCAGTGTCAAAACAGCAAACCCAACCGAATCCTGACACGGTCATCTTGTGTAACATTTTTCTAAGCAGGCAGGCAGCCCTGACCCTCCTACCCATCTTGCATAGTATTCATGCTTTATTCACCTGCTTGGAAATAAGCTGGAAAATTCAGTATTAAGTGTCTAAGCCGATCAAGTAGAAACCAGATATTTTCAGCAACAGAGCTCCCTGACAAATGAAGCTGGACATACCTCGGACTACCTGGGCTGTGAAACTCCTCATCTCCACACCCAGTCTCATTAAGGCTGTGACAGGTATTGTGGACAGCATACACAGACATGCTGGGATGCTCGATGAGGAGGTTCTCCATTGGACTGGTTTCCACTTTGATAGTGGTCAATCCACCTGCAGTAAAACATGGGGGAGGGGTAATAAACCAGCTCTCCTCCATGGGGCATGACTCAAACTGGATGAAGCAAGACTCGCTGGCCTCTGGAAAGTGTTCCAAGGGAGACGGTAAACAAGAGAAGGCGGGCGAGCCATCTGCGTCCGATGCTTCGGCGATGTCCGCTTCCTCCGCGGAGCAGTTAGTGCAAGTGTCTGCCATTAGTCAGAGTAGAGGAACCCATGGAGGTTGTTGACCGCAGGAGGTTGATAACAACATGGTTGCACAGAGTCAACAGTGGGATACAGAAAAAACAAAGAAACAGAAACAAACCCCTATTAGCACATACACAAGTTTTTGTATTTTTAGAAGTCAGGGGAGGGGCAAAGGCTGCTCCCTGATAAGCCATGCCAGACGTGCAACACAACTGTTATCAGCAAAGCAATACAATTGCATAGTAAGTCAAATATATTTTATCTGCACAAGTGGTTCTGCTGAAGCCTGTGTCATGCTTATAAACCTGACATACTTTTTCTCATCAGTTTACATAACATGTTTTAGTACATTTGGTTGGAAGACACCCTACACTAATCCACACTCATTTTATGCAGGTAAAGTTTCCTCCAAGCTACTGGTGTCTTTATAAGGAAGGAAGTAACAGCCAGAGCAGAACAAAGGCAGAGCTTACATTTGACAGACATCTTACCTATAAAGTCAACCAGAATCCACTCGTCATCTTCTTTCTCACTGAATTCTGGCTCTTGGCTGGACAGGCTATCAATCTCTCCCATGAGCATGTTATTTAACCTCTGGAACATTACTAAGGCAGGAACAAGACTTTGGCTGGTAGGTCTTTATATCCAAGGTTCAAGGCACAGCTCACACTGTACTAGCAGAGTGGCATAGACTTGAGATTAAAGTGCATAGATGTTTTATCAACTTAGGTACAGGACATGCAGAGGCATGTCTGGTCAACAGTTTATGTGAAACCTGCAAAAAAAAAACCAAACACCAATGACAAGGGTCTTAATGACAAAGCAACAGGTAACACCCCTAGGGAACAAACTAAAAGCCCTCTTTTTAGTGCAGTCTGAGGTACTAGTAAGCATTTTTGCCTACGAGGAAGGCAGCTTCACTGGCATTCACCATACCCTCCCCAGATTCATACAGGAAAAGCCTAAGTCTGTCCTTGGAGCTGAGCACCTTCCTCTTGATTCTCCTCCCTGAGCAAAGGTCTGCTCAGGTTTTAGTTCCCACCTTCTGTTATGGGAGGAGAGGACTATATGCTATATGCTCACTGCATAGGTGCTCCCTCAGCTCCCTGCCTGTCTTCCTCACAGTCAGAGAGATGCAAAGGGCACCTGCTTTCTTCTCTAGACAACACATCTCCTCCATTGACACAGCCTCACACCTTGTCCAGGGACTCCTGTGAGGGCTCTCAGAGGTGCCCAAGGCAGTGTTTCTTCTCTCCCATCTCACACAGTTCAGGGACACTGCCTACAAGTTAACACAGTAGGAAGGCATGTCCCACCTTCACTGAGTAGTGTACTGTTCAAAGTACACCACGTAGTTACCAGTGTGATCATTTTCACTGCAAGCGCCCAACTAGTTATGTATGGTAAGCCTATAACACAGAAAAGTAACCTGTATACTTAATTATCTACATGTAATTAGTCACCATAAGCCTGAACTCTACATTTGGCAGTTAAGATGAAAAATCCCATCAGTACAAGAAGCTGAATATTCAAGCATGCAGATCTGCACGCTTACAGCCTTTGAATATTTATGCGTGAGCCAACAAATAGAAGCCATTAAAGTACCTGAAAAAGTAAACACTGTACATGAAAAATATTCACTGATTTAACTACAATTCCAGTATAGAAATATTTGAATTACTACAGCATGTCAAATTATTACACATTAAACACCTGCTTAATAATTAAATAGGGAAGATACACATGCAAGAGGGCATGAATGTCTGCACTCAGAAAAGGAGTAAGACACACTATACTAGACAAACCCAGCTAAGATACAACTCACAAAGAGTATTATTTAAGGCCAGCACATCCTGCTTCATCCTATAACTCTCAGGCCACACCAAAGGATCATTTTGACCTTCTACACCACATTACCCCAGGACACCAGACTCCATTACCTACTTGTTCAATGCAAAGACAAGCACCACCTGCTCCACATAGTACTGCTCCTGTAGACATTTACAAGCTACCTCTTCATTCAAACAGCACAAAAGGATAGGGGTGGCATTCAGAGTAGTCTTCAGAAGCAATGTGAAAAGGTACAGTGTAACTCAGGAAGTTATGCACTCCAGCTTTTCAACAGGATAATGCAAGACTAGGAACAACTGGCTCAGATGCAGTAGAGATTAAAGGCTGCCTTTTCAGGACCACACTTGAACATGAGCCATCTGGGCTCTCTAAGACAGCCACAAGAAAAATCAAAAGTGTAAAGAAAAATGATAAAGTTCAAAAAATAGGCTCAAAAAAGAGAAGGAGAAATTGAAAATAGTCAATTATGTGAAGAAAAAGGCAAACATTTATTCCCTTCTTCTACATTCACAGCAAGCAGAAGTGGCATTTAGCTACAGTGAAGTTCAATTTTCAGTGGTTACTAGCCAGAAATGCTTTTAACCATTAAGGTTGCTAAGCTCTGGGTGGGTTACCCAAGGAAACGCCAAATGCCCAGTGTTCCCAAGCATCTTCTTGGGAAGGCTTGAGAGCCTCAGTTACAGTCAGAACTTGCCATGGATAAGGATATGGACTCCAAGTGGAAGCTTAAAGCCTACAGCTTTCCAGTTACCTTCCACATCTATTCCTATCTCTTTTTTGGCACTATGCCCAGGAACAAAAAAGTTCAGTTTTTCTTTAGGCTGACTAGCAAGCCATGGCGTAACTGCTGACCAGCGCTGGTGATGCCTCTTTCTTAGGCCAAGGCTGGAAATCACCTTCATGCAGAAGCTGCCTTTTTGTTCTGTGCACAGAGTGGAGCAAGACAAGAACTCACACTCCTAAATTAAGGCTCCACAGGCATCATAACAACATGAAATAATTAACCTCTAACAAGCAAGAGGCCGCTGTTCCTGTTCCACAATTCCCTATAGTGGAATTGTTCCTGAGAACATAAGCTAAACAAACCACAGCTTGACCCATAAATGTCTTTCTGTAGATCACAAGCAGTTTGTCCAATCTCCTCCTTCCGCCACTCCAAGGAGGATCCATAAAACCCATCTGAATCATTTAGAAACTGGTTGATGTTCCCACATCCTTTTGGACAAGTGCCCTTAGCAATGCCACACTTGCATGCTATTGCACAAGCCAGACGAGGACCAAGCAGGAACGCTGTTATCAAGGGGAGGCAAATGAGGCAGAGGCCCACAGAGAGGTACACTGGCTGTTAGAGAGGAACGATCAGCGGCAAGAAAATATGGGACCAGGAACAGCTGACTCAGCCACAGTCGGGATGAAAAGGATGTTAGAGGTAACACATCCAGTGCACGTTAATATTACGTTGCACTAAAAAAAAAAAAAAAAACCAAACAAAAAAAACACTCAAACCCACTTTTTTCTTTCTGCCCAGCAGAGGAGATGGGGCGCATGCCAAGCAAAAAAGAAACGAAAATAAGACACTCCCTGAAGCGTCCGCTGCAGTTCCTGGCTGCCGCGCCGCCCGGTGCCTTCCCCACGGCCGGTTCATGCCGCCAGGAGGCTCCCACAAGCCGCTTTCGGAGGAGTCAACGGGTGCTACAGGCTTGGGAACAGAGGGACTGGAGTAGATAAACCACTTATTAATGCTGTAGTTAAAGATGGAAATTAATTAGTAATTAAATAGGCACCATCTTGACTTATGGAGGGGTTTGAGTAGAAAGGGGTTTGCGAAGATCATCCAGTTCCAACCCCCTGGCATGGGCATGGACACCTTCCCTAGACCAGGTTGCTCCAAGCCCCATCCAACCTGGCCTTGAACACTGCCAGGGATGGGGCAGGCACAGCTTCTCTGGGCACCCCGTGCCAGTGCCTCACCACCCTCACAGTAAAGAATTTCTTCCTAATATCTAATGTACATCTGCCCTCTTCTAGTTTAAACCCATTACCCCCTTGTCCTATCCCTACATACCCTTGTAAAAAGTCCCTCTCCAGATTTCTTCTAGGCCCCCTTTAGGCACTGGAAGGTGCTCTAAGGTCCCCCCAGAGCCTTCTCTTCTCCAGGCTGAACAACCCCAACTCTCTCACCCTGTCTTCATAAGTAAAGTGTTGTAGCTCCTGTGATCATCCTTGTGGCCTTCTCTGGACTCGATCCAACAGGTCCTTGTCCTTATTGTGTTGGCTCCCCAGAGCTGGACTCAGGACTGCAGGTCCAGTAGGCTGAAGCCTGTTAGTTGACCTGTAAAGATTCCAAGTCAGACTTCTGAAGTCCTGGAAGACTTGTGCATTAGGTCACTTACCCCATCCACTCCCTGTTTTTCTTTAAGGAAAAGACAAGAGGCAATGAACAATGAACATAAATGCAGCGCTCTTTGGAGTGATGAGCAGCTAATAAGGAAGGAATTTCCAGGCAGTGAAATTACAGTCCAGAAGAGCTGGTGTAGCTGTGCTGCACACCTTCAGTCACTTAATATAACTCTGAATACATCAGAGTGTTAATATTGTTGCTTCAGACTGCAGCAAATGCTGTTTAGGAAAATACCTGTGTCCTCTGGAAGATGCTGAAACAAATGGGCGCTGTGTAGCCAAACAGCAGTTTACATGCAACACATCTTAACAATTTAGGAGTTTTCATGGTTTCAGTAGTGCTGAGTAACATGATTTGTAACAGGCAATAACATTTTCTACTAAAATACAAGGTGTGCAGCCTGAATGTGTTGTAGTTGTGGGAGTCCAGATAAACTTCTTGACCTTTTATCTTCAGTGTTTAATAACATCTTCTTTTGTACCCTTTTTTCCCCCTCCCTTTTTGTGAGGACTAAGCTTTTCTATGTAAAACAAAATGGGGAAAGTACATTTTTGGGGAACACTGCAAAGTGGTTTCCTGTGGTTGGGAACAGGCTGTGTAACTTGGCTGACAAACTGCCCAGATGGACAACTTACAGTATTTTTGCAAAGCCTTTCAAATGTCTGGTATTTGGTGATACTTTTTTAGGCTGAGCTGACCCTTCCTGAATGATGAGATACATAACCGGCACTATCAGGGGGTGTAAACTGATTGAATGTCTGATTAAACTTTCAGTTTGTAAGTTGAAGCAATTCATAAAAGAGCCTACAAAGTCTTTTTGATTTTCAGTGATAGTGGCTCCACGGCTGGAGGGGGCTGGGAGATGGCAGAAGCAGCACGTCTGTGAATTCAAGATAGGCGAGACAGAAAATTAAATGTACAGAATAAATGCCTCAAAGGATTTCTCTGTATTGCAGAATTACACTGTGTTAGAACACGTTAATTAAAACGATACAAAGCAATTAGTGCAGACAAGAACTGTCATGTTTGGCAGCTGTGTTAGCTTAGGTCAACAACAACAACCAGTGTTAAACATAGTAGTCTTTGTTTATATTGACTGTTATATTAAGCACTATATGTTAATCAATAAACATAATGAACTTTTCCAGTGTAGGCAAGCCCTTGGAAGGCTCGGGCTGTATTTGAGTCACAGCCTCCTAATGAAGTTAAAAAGCCAGTCTTTATGTTTTTTAAAGTCCCCTGAGAAGGAATTAGATTAGGAATTAGATTAGGAATTCTGTGGCATCGATTTCTGTTGTGCTGTTGAGTGCATTCCTCTTCATTTCACTTATCTTATGCTTTAATTCCCGGTCATTATAAAATGGTGGAAACAATGGACTTGCTTACTTTTTCCTCCAAATCGCATCACTGTTAGCAGGAGAGGGGCAGATCTGAAATCTACTCCTCTACCCCTGGCAACCAGAATACTTTTGTTCCAGATCTGAGAAGTACTTAGGCACATGAATGGTTTAAAATGAAATAAATTACATGTGTGACTTAAATACCTGCTGACCAAGAGGGTGTTTCATCATGCACTCACTGAGGTCAACGACAAATTTTCTGGTGATTGCAGTGGTGGAGGTTGTGGCCTCAGCTGCTTTATCCAAGGTCTTTCAAATCAATTAGCCTTTCTATTGATTCTAACGGTTGTTACATCAGACTCTCAGACAGCAAAAGAAATGCAGTCATGTTGGTCTGGGGCTTGCTGAGCACCAAGGTTGGCCCAGAGACTAGCCTTCCCTTGAGGATTTTGACTTTTAGATTTGTATTACAGGACAAAAAGAAGATGAAGAGATCTCTGGAGCAAGGGAACCATTCGTGTTTCCAACAATGTGTGCCCTTGCACAATTCTGAATTACTGGTAGGAGTCAGCAGAGAGTCTGTTGTACTGTGTGCTCAGTGGCAGCTTAATGGCACAGCCATTGCTGTGCCTGCAAAAGTCTCCCTGTGCATCCAGAGTGCTCTGAGTGTCACAGGGATAGTAAGCCCCTGGGCAGCAGTCCTCTGTTATTTGAACTGTATTGATTTTTCAACATCCTACACATTAATGCAAGGCATGACCTATTGTCTGGGTTCCCACTGCGATGAAATACTACAGCAGCATTTAGCAGGCACAATATATGTCTAGCCATGGAGTACAGAAACACTGACCTTCCTACGACAAGACCTGCGAGTTACAATGAGCACATTGAGCTTACAACAAAGCACTGCCATGTGTTGTGCCTCTTGAAGAGGCCCTACTCCGCAGACATGCCTGTTTAAATGGTAGGTGAGAATGCAGATCTTTGCATTAGAAACACTGAGTAGCAGGAGGGAGAATGATGCCAAACAGAGCTTGCACAGACTGAAAAAATAATCTAGTAAATTTTGGAGAAGATCGATCCTCCAGA